GGCCCTCTAGTCTCAGAGGAAGAGAGAGATGGAATAGGATCAGAAAAGGAACAATAGTACACAAGCCAGTGAAACTGCACCAAGTGAAGCTATATTATCAGATAGTTTGCCTAATAACCACTAGGTGAAGTTGTTAGGCTCATCCTATCCAGAAAGATGACATCAACAACCAATACAGTAACAACTATTCATGATCACTGCTTAATAGGTATCAGAATCAAACTACGCTCTTGTAGAGTTTGCCTAAACAAGAATTCTTTGAAGTTTGCCATGGGATTCACCAAACAGACATTTCCATATCCGACAAAGCCTGCATACAATCCTAAATAATATGCAAATGCAAAACCTATGTATCACTCACAAAAAGTGGCAAATCGAGACTTCTTCCGCAGCTCAAGCCCAATATGCGTAGATCAAACTTAGAATACAATTGTCATTAAACTAAAGTTTTAACATCAAACAACTAATAAATGTATAAGAACGCATACCTAGCTCTCGAATGCAATGAGCTATTCCTGTAATACTCCTCAGCATTTTCAATCAACCTTTTATACTCCTTCGAACCCGGCAACAACCCTTGAAAGTACCCACTCCTCTCCAAACTCTCCATGAATTTCTCCCACGTACTCCCCTTCCCTTCCAACCCCTCCTTTTTTCTCATCTGATACATCATTTCAAACCCACAAGTAATCTTCATACCCAACTCAGCCTCCACATAAGCCCTCACATCAGTCCTCACGGGCATCGGGTAGCATTTCGGCGCCTGAAACGTTTGCTGGACTAGCTGCGCATACATGGCCCTCGACATTCTCACAGACACAGTAACCATCTCCTCCCCAGTCCCTTTCGGCATAAACTTCCCCATCTTCGCGGCAAACTTCATAGTATCAATGTCTCTATCATAAAACCCCTCAACCGCCAGAGAAATCAAACACGGCTCGTGTTTCAACACCTGAGCAACGGATACCGGAACCCTAACCCTAACTCTATGCACATTTTTCTTCGCCCTTTCTGGGTAGTCTGCAATCTTATTCTTTATTGCTAATTGAACTGATTCAGTGGCTTCAGTTTTGGTTTCGAATTTCATTATGTATGACAACGAATCGAACAGCGAAGGCGTTTGTGGAAATACAGTTTTGGGGACAATGTGAAGGTGCCCATTGCGAATGAAGATTCGATTGGTGGCGGTGTCGGGGTTGAGCCACCGGGGGAGGTGAAAAGCGGTTTCGATTAAAAGGAATTCTCCGTCAGTGTCCCAAACGCGGATTGAGAGGTTGGGGAAGTGAAGAGAGGTGTGGAATAGAAGGAAAACGATGAACCATTCATCGTCAAGGTTGTCACCGTAGCGGAGTTTGCCGTGGAGGTGGGGGATGGAGGCGGAGCAAATACAGGTGGCGGTGGGGGACGAGAGAGAGACAGTGAAAGGCTCGTGTTGCCAGATGTAGTCGGAGGTGTAGGGGGAGAGGGTTTGGAGGATTTGGAGGTGGAGGGATTGGAGTTGTGAGGAGAGTTCAGAGGTGGAGGTGGAGGAGGATTGGGGAGTGGAGGGGATGGAGAAGTCGGGGAAGATGGAGAAGAAAACGGTGTCGTCTGGGAGTCTGAAATTTTTCTCAGAGAAGATGGAGGAGAAGGAAGAAGAAGAGTTAGGGTCTGCTTCCATGTCTATTCTCTGAGTTGCTCTGATTTCGCGAAAGCTCGCAGGTTAATAGAGGACGGGTTTGCTTATTTTAGGTAGAATTTCATTTCGCTGATTTATGGGAGAATTACGGTCACACGAGCTTGGTCACTTGATTACTTACACTCTTCAATACATACAAACTTACTAAAATTTTACTAATACTTCAGGCTTGTTTAGATACATTTTGGAGAGGAGTTTGAATTCAAACCCTATTTATAAAAATAAAATTTAATATTTAATTCGGTTCATACTTATGTTTGATATGTAACATGTATAACTCACAGATACATCATAATTATTAACAATTATTTGTCTTATAAATAACTATTTTACCTTTGATCAATCCAATCTATACTCATATTAAGAGGTACAATTGTCTTTTGTATTTTTAACGCATCTTTTCAAACTCACCCCCTCCCTAGGTTTGATGAAACTCATAATCATGGGTTTAATCTTCGAGACAACTACAAGCTACGTTTGAAAATTCGAAATTAAATTTTTAATTCAAACATGAGATTTGGAGTCTTTTGAACTATTTTCTCCAAACTCATTTTGACAAGTCCTCTCATACCCCTTTACTAAACAGCCCCTTAGACACTTGTGTTCAATGTCCGTTAGTAAATTACACACAGGCTCTCCTGAGGTTAGTAAGTTTGTAATACTGAAATTCTTCAAATTTAAAATATTATATTTATATCAAAAATATTTCAATCAAAAATAAATATCAAATATTTTAAATTTTACGACCAAAATTCATATTCTATTATGATATTTATAGAAATAAAAATAAATTTTTATTTTTATTTTTATTTTTTTCTTAAAAAAATCCTACTTAGTATATAATTATACTATTTATTAGAATTTAATTTGATCGTTTAAAGGATCAAACTAAATTACCAAATTATCTCAATTAAAACTAGAAGATATTATATCTATTACAGTTTGATTTCTTATTTGATTTTCTAATTTTATTTCAATAGATAGTATAAAAAATAAATAAAAAAATAGAAAAAATTACACCCAAAATTCCTAAGGTTTGTTACTTAATCACTTAGACTCCTTGACATTTAAAATATTATACACAAACCCCCTAAGGTTTGTACCATTAATATATCTATTAATAAATTACACTTAAACTCCCTAAAAATTTTAAGTGTATAACGCTTAGACCTCTTAAAATTAAAATATTACACTTAAACTTTTTATTAGTTATGGAACTAACAAATCTATTAAATTAACCAATTATCCCAATTAAAGAAAGAAGATATTGTGTTTATTACAGTTCCATCATTTGTTTTATTTTAAAGGACAATATAATTGTATGCAAATGATTGTTGAATTAAGTTCTTTAATATATTTATACTGATTATTATTTTTTCTTCAAAAAATTAAGATTTATTTGGGTTTTATGTCAATAGATGATATACTGGAACATGTAAATGTATTGATTACGTTTATTTCATATGTTCGTACTTGACAATGAAAAAATTGATCCAAAGTAAAAAGTTTATTTAGTTCAAGAACAAATCTTAGAGCCTGTGTGTAATATTTTAAATATTAGAGATCTAGATGATTAAGTGACAAACTTCAGGGATTTGATTATAATTTTTCCAAAAATATAAAAATAAATTTCAATAACACCTATAAAATGGTAGTTCTACTAAAGGTATTTACGTAAAATCAGATTCCTATGTAGTGATATTTTAAATACTAGAATGGGTGTCAATGAAATATTACATAAATACAAGGGGGTGTCAATGAAATTTACTCTTAAAACTATTATAATATGCCTCCGCAAAAAGCATTCCGTTGCCATGGATGACTAACAAAAATTAACAAATCTTAATTTTGAAGAATATAATGTAAAAATTCTTTGGAAGAATTACATCAAGATCTTATGGGGTTTATCACTTAATCATTTAGATTCTTTAACATTTATAATATTAAATACGCACTACCTAAAGTTTGTATATACATAATGCTTAGACCCTTGTCATCAATGTCCGAATCCAGTAATAAATTATCTCTAGACCCCCTGAAGTTTGTAAGTGTATAATACTTAGACTCCTCAAGTTTTTTTTACTTAAACTAAAAATATTTTAATCAAATATAGAATATCAAATATTTTAAATTTTATAATAAAATTCATGTTTTATTATGATATTTATTGAAATAAAATAAAAAATAAAAATCTATTTTTTTCTATTACCATATGTTGTGCCCTAACCTAATTATGGTCACAAATTATTCTTTATCAAAGGATTTTATATGCCCATTTTACACATTATTATTATTAAATTAATTATATGAAAAATAATACTAAATTAATATTTAATTTCATTAAATCAACACTAAATTTATTTTGAATTTTATAAAATTACTACTCAATTTTATCAAATAAACATTTAATTATATCTAATTGATATTCACTTTTATCAAATTAATACCAAATTAATATTATATTTAATCGCATTAGCACCAAGTTAATCTTCTATTTTGTCAAATTAACGTTAAATTTTGTCAAAATTAATATTTAAATTCATAAATGAACTTTTAATTCGTCCAATTAACATTCAATTTAATCAAACTAGTGCCAAGTTAATATTTAATTTCATCAATTTAACATTTATTTTTATCAAATTGATATTAATATTTATCATATTAACACCAAATTAATATTTAATTTGATCAAATTAACCATTAGTTTTATCAATTTAATATTCTATTTTATGAAATCATTCGAGTTCATCAAATTAATATGAAATTGACCTTAAATTTCATCAAATTAACATTTGTCGCCACCAAATAAACATTCACTCTTATCAAATTAACACTCAAATTTATAAAATTAATGCCAAATAAATATTAAATTTTATTACATTAACATCAAATTAGCCTTTAGTTCTATCATGTTAATATTCAATTTTACCAATTTAACATTCATAATATCATTGATTTAATTTAATTCTAAATTAAAATTTAATCTCATCAAATAGACACCACATTTATGTTCAATTTTTTAATTTAACAATTAATATTATCAAATTAATATTATTTTTTAATTTAACACTAAATTAATATTCAATTTTGTCAAATTAATACAAATTCTATCAAACTAGCCTTCATTTTTTAAATTAAACATTTAAATTTATGAATTTGACATTTAAATGAATTTTATTTATTTAATTTAATACCAAATGAACGTTTAATTTTATTAAATCAAATCAAAAACAAATTGACATTCATTTATCAAATTAATATTAAATTTTATGGAAATTAATATTTATTTTTAAAGCTAATATCAAATTAATATTCATTTTTTTATCATATTAAGACCAACTTAATTGCCTACTATTGTAGATTGAAGTTGGAGCAAATTGGAATTTCCAAAAAAGAGAAGATGACATTATATTAATCTCATTTTGGTTTATATACATGCTAAGAGTAAAGTTGGTAATCCATAAGGGAGTATACAAACACAACACGTGTTTTTTTAGTTGTTAGTAACGACATATTTTTAATGCATTTAGGATGCAATATAAAATATTTAATCTTTAAGAATTTAAAATAAAAATCTTAAATTTTTAAGGGTACAAAATGAGATTCTCCCTTTATTTAGTTTATGTCAATCTTACCCGTCGACATACACATGATATGAATCCAACATAATATTATTATAAAATTGATACCATTAATAAACACAAATAATAAATAAGTTAGATTATATTTAATACTCATAACACATTAAATAATTTTTTTTGTAGATATTAACATCAATACGATATGAATTACAATGGACATAACCCAAAAATAATAACACGCATATCATATGATACAACACAAATTGACACTCAGCGTGTGGGTTTATTTGTAGACCTGGCCATTCTTTCATCAGTGGGCAGGGTCGTGGGCCAAAATGAGTCGAATTGTTCCAAGCTTTGCCTATGGACCAATCCGATCAAGACCATAATTTACAAATATATCAAAGTACTTTTAGATATTCAATGTATTATTTTTTAAAAGTAATATTAACATTTAACAAATATGAATGAAATATACAAGTCTAGGAAAAATAAAGTATTTTTTGACAATTTTAAAACCTTTTAGGGGAATAAGTCTAAGCACATTTTTTTTTGAGTCTTTAAGGACAAATCCATTTCAAAAGAATCATTTACTCTTATGTAAATAAAAATATAAAGTTGAATAATAACCATATAAAATGCACAATTTAGAATTCAAATAAAGTCAAATCTCTTTGGTTTTAGATCTTTCATATTTAGAACTCTTTAGATAGTGACAATGCCACTATCACCGTCTTGAATAGTAAAAAAAGTTCCACTATCATTGTCATGTGATATTGAAAAGTACAAAGTGAGAATCGAGACATCTTTCGGAGTGTAAAGTATGAAAAATCCTTTAGATTTAATCATCAATTACAGTGAGTTTTTGAACAAATATAATTGCAAAATTTTGGTAGGAATTGCCGAGTCCAAAAACTAGAAAATATAAACATGATTTAGACCAATCTATATACAAAATTGTTGTAAATGCATTGACAAATCACATTTTAATGGTATTGTCATAAGTTGTCTAAAATTTCCAACGTGCGTTTCACCCACATGGACAAATTAGACAAGGTAATATTGGCTAACAAAATTAAAACATTGTCTTTATCACAGTCTTTTTCGAAAAACATATCGCAATTGCAAGCATGTGTGTCATTTTGTGAATATAGTGAAATACAAACGTATATAGGAAAGTCAACGATATTAAATTTTGTATTATATCGAAAAACTAATTATTACCAAATCAGAATCCTCAGATTCCAACAATTATGTTTTAACAGATCACAATCCCACATTATTAGCTAGTTGACTGTTACACATTTATTTGTACAGATTTTCATATTATTTCCATGAATAGAATTACTCCATATATAGACGTGTAATACTTAAAATAATATAAGAAAACATTTTTTATCCCATCACTTTCTTAACATGGTATTAGAGCCAAAAA